AGGGCCTGCCTTCTGCTTTTCAGGGTTGCTTTGGTGGCCTGGGTGGAGGGGACTTCTATAGACACAGTGGAGGCAGGAGGAAGCAGGCCGGTGAGTCTCCAGCATGGCTCAGAGGAAACTGGCGGCCATGTGGCTTTGCAGGGAGGAAGCAGATTGGTAGGGTGTTTTGGAATTAGCGTCCTGTCAGTCACTGGCATTTAAGTATTCGGTGCATGTCAGCACCAGTGTTACTTAGCTGAAGCACTGCCTTGAGATACAGGTGTTATGACAACATTTAGTGGATGAGGAGACGGAGACTCATAGAGGTGTTTGTCCACATGTGAGCACAGGACAGAGCAAGATTGCAAATTGGGGTGCATGTGCCCACCACACTAGCTAGCGGTAGATGTTGATGGTACAGCCGATGGAGGCTGCAGGCTGGCAGAAGGCCTGGGCACGTCCCTCACCCCCCTTTCTTTGGGCTCCCTTCCCGATTTCTGCACATCGAGGCCACAGTCTGTGTCCTGGTCCTCTCCACCCCTCCCCCTTTGCCTCACTGGAACTGTCCCGCAGCCCAGAGCTGGGGAAGGGGAGGCTTCTCCCTTCAGCTTCAAGAGCTGCCTACAGGAAGCGGGTGGGCAGCACAGGCTGGCACCCCTCTGGCTTCTGACCTGGGGCTTCTTGCTTGGGCCGCGGGAACCCAGGTGGAGGTCAGTCTGCCTCTCCTGCAGGTCTCCAACATCGTGGACCCCCACCAGACCGTGGGCCTGAGCACCCAGGAACCCGGCGACATCTTCACCCACTCCGAGTTCGACGGGGTCCTGGGCCTGGCCTACCCTTCTCTTGGCTCTGAGTACTCGGTGCCCGTGTTTGACAACATGATGAGCCAGGGGCTGGTGGCCCAGGACCTGTTCTCGATCTACCTGAGCAGGTAGGTGTGACGCCCGGCAGAGGCCGATGTCCACGGCCTGGCCAGGACTGAGGGTGTCCGCCCCAAGGCCACTCTGCCGCCCGCGGGGAGTCACCTGCAGCCCAGCCACCCGCAGCTGTGTCTAGGCACAGCCAGTCCCTCGGCGAGAGACCCCGACAGAGTCACAGTCGCAGCCAGAGCTCCCTGGCCAAAGCTGGCTTTCCTCTCTGGCATGTAAAAAGCAAAACCTGACACATCTGCGCCGGAGCCTTTAGCTGCTTTTTCTCCAGGGAGGCGGGTCGGGGCTAGCACCTGGACAGCGCAGAGCAGCAGGTGACACGAGTGTCTGTGCCACCTCGGGAGAGAGCCCGGGGGAGGGGAGCGGGCTGGGGTGGCAGTTTTAACCCAAAGTGTGTGGGAGCCTGTTGAAGACCCCTCTTCGATTGGCAGCTCGAGGGCCTAGGGCAGAAAGCCCTGGGTGGTTGAGTGGGGGCTCAGGGAGACAGCGGGACGCCCAGGGGTGGCTTGAGCAGAGCCCGGCAGTCAGGGGGCTGTGGCGGGTTCCTCTGGCCTCCGGTACACGCTCAGGGCCCAGCTGGGTGTAGGAGTAAAGCCTGGAGGGTCAGGGAGGCAGGGGTGCTCGTCTGAGCTCAGCGAGTAGGTGGGGGCTGGGGGCCGTCATCACATCTGCCCTCCAGTGGGGCCACACCCCACGCCAGAGTCGGGGGTTGAGAGCCTGAACACGCCTTCCCTTGGTTTCAGAAGTGCCCAGGGGAGCATGCTCACACTGGGGGCCGTTGACCCGTCCTACTACAGTGGCACTCTGCACTGGGTGCCCGTGACCGTGCAGGATTACTGGCAGTTCACCATGGACAGGTGGGTGAGCGGCCCGCTCAGGTTGGGGACGTCAGCCCGCGAGGCTCGGGCAGGGCCGCGGCGTGGCGGCCCAGAGTGTGCATCGGACGCGGCCAGGCCCGCGGCCTTCCAGTGAGAAGCCTGGAGTCGCCTGCGCTTTATCAGTAAACCATGGCGCTAACCGAGCCACTGCTGCTTCGCTGCGCCAAGCCCTAGCAGGTGGGTGTTAGTACCCTTGTTTTATCATTTGCTGAGGTTGAGTTTGAACTCACGACCACCTTTGAGGACGGCAAGGCAGGCCTGTTTATGTGCCTCTAGCAGACGGGAAGCCTACGTGCAGGGAGGTTGGCTACGTGCCCAAGACCTGCAGCATCAAGTAAACAGCAGGGGAAAAACATGAAGCCAGATCTGAAGTAGCTAGTGCGCCCTCGGCCTCCTGCTTGACTCACGATCCAACGCCAGGCACCCTGTCTCCCTGCTGCAGCGTCACCATTGATGGCGTGGTGGTGGCCTGCAACGGCGGCTGTCAGGCCATCCTGGACACGGGCACCTCCCTGCTGGCCGGGCCCAGCAGCGACATCCTCAACATCCACTTGGCCATTGGAGCCACCCAGGACCAGTACGGCCAGGTGAGGGCAGGCGAGTGCCCTCACCCTCCAGAGGTCCCTACGGAGGGGCCCCTGTGCTTGTGGGAGAAATGACAAGGAAAATAGTGGCTGTGAGTGGGATTTCTCCAGAGGCCTTTGGCCTTGGCCCACAGTGGTTACTGGAGCTCCCAGGCCTCACCCAGCAGCCACAGCATGACCTGCTGACCCAGGAGGTCATGCGTCCATGACTTGGCTGGTCTTTGATTGCTCCCTTGCTCCGCCTGTCCCTGTGGGGGGGCTCCTGTGGGGCTTTCCTGCCTCCCTAATGACTGAGTTCTCCTGGTATCCTTGGCAGCTCTGGCTGGGCCCGGGGGGGGGGAGGGGATCCGAGGCATGCCCCTCCCTCTTTGTGTATCCTTGTGTTAGTGGACAGACCGTCCCCCTCTCTGTGACTCTTGGGGACACACACTGGCTGGGGACCTCTCCAGGGTCTGCTGCTCCACTCAGGTTTGGAGGAGGGGGCCCTGCCTGGAAACTTCTTTGTGCCTTGCAGTGCCCTCTGAAGTGCTCGCCCTGTTTTTTAGTTCGACATCGACTGTGGGAGACTGAGTATCATGCCCACAGTGGTTTTTGAGATCAATGGCAGAAAGTACCCCCTGCCCCCCTCTGCCTACACCAACCAGGTATGTGTCTCAGGAGAGGAGCTCTGGGTTTACCTAGCACCCCGCCTCTTCATGGGGTGACTGGTGATAAGAAGCGGCACAAGATAGATGGAATACACAGGACACACAGGTAGACCAGCTGGCCCTGCGGAGCTTGGCTGTGTTGTGTCTTTGGCTGCTACGGCCTCACCCTGGATAGGAGGCGGCTGGCAGGAGGACAGTGCCCTCAAGTCTGGGGGAAGGGTGCGGTGGGCAGGACCCCAGCTGGTGGGGTGGGGGTGTGAGGGCGCCATCCACTGCAGCTCCCAAGTCCAGGGCCTAGAGCTTTGTCCCAGCACTTCTCAGGGCTTTGTGGGGACCCAGTCCTTGACTCAACTCATCTGCTGGCCTCAGTTTAACCTAAACTTGAGCTCTCAAAACTGACCCCAGGGCAGTGGGTGCCAGAGCAGGGGATGCTGAGGACAAGTTTGGGAGAGGGGGTGAGGGGACCCATGGGGTGATCTTGGATTAAGTCATTTTATTTGTTCAGTCTCAATTGCATCATCTATTGCGCAAAGATAAATGTGATAATTTGCTTACCCCTCCCCAGGACCAGGGCTTCTGCACCAGCGGCTTCCAGGGTGACAGTGGGTCCCAGCGGTGGATCCTGGGGGATGTCTTCATCCGGGAGTACTACAGTGTCTTTGACAGGGCCCACAATCGTGTGGGGCTGGCCAAGGCTGTCTGAAGGCACCGCTGGGCAGGGCCTCACGGCCCTAGATGAGGCTTGCAAGCAGATGGGTCTCAATAAACACCACATCTCTGTAAAGCTTATTCTTTTTGGGGGCGCTGAAGTCCTGCACTGTGGTGGGTGGGCAAGCCTCTCCCTTGGTGTAGGATCATGTGGGGAGAGCAGGTTGGGGACACCGGTGAGATGCAGATTTTCACAATGGACTTGGCCATTGCAAGCTTGGTAAGGAGTCAAGTCTTGCAGCCCACCCTCAATCTTTCTGGGATAGGGAGAGAGTCCCGGAAACTTGCATCTGAGGACTCATCACTGCAGGTGTGGGGTTGGGCAGAGAACACTGGACTGGCAGCAGGAAAGGCCTGTCAGGACCTCAAGGCCAGCCGGAGAAGGCAGGTTCTGGATTAGGCTGAGGATGGTGGGCCGGGATTGCCATCTATGGGAAGCAGCTCACCTGAGGGCTTCTGTTTTCTGAATCACAGCCACCATGGCCTGCTGCACCCCACCCATAGCATCACACTTCTGCAGAAGTTAATGCTCAGAGGGCCTTGGACGGGGGGTCACCAGCTTGTCCCTACCCTGACCTCAGACACGGGCTTGCCCGGCACACTCGGGCGACGCCCCAAAGACAGGTCTGCCCAAAGAGGCGTGTGTGAACGCATGCGCGTGGAGAGGTCCTTCCGCAGTGGACCGCAGATGGGGTCTTGTTGACAGGCTCATCTTGGGGCGTGGTTCTCAGCTGTGCTCGACACACAAGAGGAGGAGCCAGGCCAGGGAGACAGGTGCAGTGCTTTCCCGCACCCATGGCTGAGTGGCCAGTTCCGGCCAGAGAGGCCCCGGGCTGCGGGGCAGGAGAGGAGCAGTGGTCTGGAGGGGGCAGGCGGCCATTCCGGCGATGGGCTGGGTGGCTTCTCAGCATCTTGTTTCTTCTCCGAGACCGGTCTCGCCTGTTTGCCAAGAACGAGACAGAACTGGGCCACTTTCATTATTTTTAGTTTTCTTGTAGATTAAAAAAAATTGCGAGCAGGTTTAGGAAAACTGTTATATTTCAAGGGTTTACAATTAGCAAATTATATTTTAAACCTCCAAACCTCACTTGGAGAGACCATAAAGAATCTAACATGATGACTTCCATAAAGGGGGCACCAGCTGTCCCCCGACCTCTTCCCAGGCCACCTGGCCCTGGTGGCCACTCACTCGTGAGAGGGTAGCGACGGGGTGGGTGACTGCTGGGCCGGGGACGTGGGCAGCCTGCCATTCCGGGCTTCCTCCTCACTGCAGAGAGCGTCTGCCTGGAATGTTCTCCACACCCAACCCCCCCCCCCCCCCGATGACTTAATTGTCCTTCAAGCCTCACTGCCACATGTCCTCAGGGTGCCAGTGGGCAGGCTGGGCCTGGTGACCTCCCACGTGCCCAGGGCCCTCCTCCGCGTGGGGCTTAATTCTATTGTTATAGGGCACCCCAAATCTGTTACCAGACAGGGAGAGAGGGCACTCCTGAAGCCCCAAAAACCTGTCTGCTCTAAGTGGGTTCTGCCATCTGCCGCAACAAGACAAAACATATAAAACTTCAATGAAAAGGGACTTTAATACAGTGAATACACAATATGGAACACAAAGAATATAACTTCTAAATCAAACACCTGAAGTGACCCATCCCCTCGTGGGCAAACGTCAACCCAAAAGGGACTGGCCCAGAGCAAGGCCTGAAAGCTGCCACTAGACTAAAGCACCTTCTGGCCGGGACCCATGGAAAAGGGTCAGAAATGGCGAAAAATCTGGGAGCAAAAGAGCAAAATCAAAATCAATATAAACACTACCTACAGGTATCTCACCCCCATCTGCCTTCACCAGCCCAGGGTCAGAGACAAGCCCGGTTTCTTCATCACATGCTTGCTGCTCCATGTGGCTTCCTCAGGTCTCCGTCTTGTTCTCCATCCAGCTTCCTTCTCTCCTTTCTTCTCCCTTTCTTCTCTCCTTTTTCTCTGCTCAGCTCCACCCCCCTTCTGGGTGGGACAGGGAACCTGGAACTTCCCCTTTTCCTAGGGACCCCCCTGTTACACTATCACTGATTTGCTAGCTGGCCTCCCCCAGGGACGAGGGCATGGGGGCAGACTTGGCGCTCCTCTCCTGATACCCTGGGAATGCGGGGTCAGATACTGTCAGGGCCTCCAGCGCCCCCTGCTGGCGGCTGGTCTTTTCCTCTGGGTTCTCCAATCAGCCGCCCTGCCCCCTGATCCAGCTCCCGTGGAGTCTGCAAGGGGGCAGGGGCTTTGGGAAAAGGCTGCCAGCCCATCTCTCATCTGCTTGTGAAGAGCGGCAACCTGGAGGCCAGTAAGCTGTGAAGTTGGGGGGGACCTGCATGGCCAGGCTGTCATGGCCAGGTCCCCCACCTGGCAGTTCAGGAAGCCCAGCAGGTGTTTGCTGTCATCTGCTGCTGCCAAGGCTGCACCCAGAAGCCTGCAGGACTGGCCTCAGGGACTTTGCTCCCGCTGCAATTTTTGTCTGCCATGCTCTCTTCCATTTTCTCTACTGAACCTGACAGCTTTCAGTATCCTTTTCCACGACACCCACTCGCCAGACTCCCACCAGACTCCTAATGGCTCTGCAGGAATCTTCACAACAGCATTTAGCTTGTCCTGGTTGTTCACTGACAGGTCTGTCCTGACAGACAGCACCTGCCCGGGGTGAAGATGTCTTTGCACCTGCTCTTCCTCTCTGAAACCTGGCACAGGGGGGCCTGAGCAGGAGCCGGGGCAGGAGGTGGCTTCTGCCTTGTGAGAGGAGCCAGGATGCTTCTGCCTGATTGTCCTGAGTGCTGAGAAAAAGGGAAAAAGGAACCCGTCCCCTTCCGCCCACCCCTGGAGACCTGGGCCTAGAGCTCTATTTATTTCTGCTTCTTCTGCCTCCCCTTCACTCCTGTTCCTGCCAGTTCTTCTCACACTAATGAGAGGAAGCTTTGGCCAGAGTGAAGCTGGAAAGGAAGTCTTTGAAATGGAAATGTTATGACAAAATGATGGATTGTTTTCTGAGCTGTGCAGCTTGTTTCTTGCTTGCAGCAGAAGGGAGACTGTAACGAGACTGGTGGTGGAGGTTGCCCCAAGTCAGGAAGCCCTAGACAGCAAAACAGCCGGTGAAGCACACAGCAAGAAGAGGAAGCAGGTGTCCGAGGAGCCCCAGGCTGAGGGAACATGGGGCTGGCAGGAGCCCAGGCCCTGGGTGGGCATAATGAAGGTGCCTGCTGGGCATCTGACAGGCATTGGTGTGTGCTACCAGGTCACATCCAGCATCCGGCGTGACTGACCTCTGGACCTTTGCACATGCTGGTCTCATTGCCTGGGTCCCTTTTCACTTTCCCTAGCCTGGGGACTGTTCCTCATCCTTCAGACCAGCTTGCGCACTCCTCACCCAAAGCCACCCCATCGCAGGCAGGCTGATGACCCACCCAGCCACGCAATTTCTTAGGGCTAGTGAGAATGGTCATTTACCTTATTAAAGGTTTGTGCTAAGCACCTACAGTGTGTTGCTGCTCTTGTGCCATGTCCCTCAGTGAGCCTCACAGACGTAGCCCTCCATCCTCAGAGTTCTAGGGACACAGTTCATGTGGGTGGTTTTAAGCATAGAGGGAGAAAATGGAGGAGGGTGGAGATGACTGAGAGGCTGCAAGGACTCCAGCTTTAAAATGGGGTGAGGAGGAAAGGCTGCCTGAGAAGGGGACATTTGAGCAAAGACACAGAATGGCCCTAAAGCAGCAGGATAGGAGAGAGGGACCAGCATTATAGGCTGAAAGGACAGCTTGTGGATAGAAGTTACTGGTAAAAATGGCTACGTAATTTTTTTCTTCCTCCTCTTTTCTTTTTAACGAGATGGACCTTGTTTAGGAGGCAGGAGTCACATCTCACTTTGTAACTTCCACAGCAGGTACCGCTTGGCACAGAATGATTGTTCAGTAGTTGCACGGTGAATGCATAAATGAACTCTAAACCAGGTCTCTGTAAGCCCCTGAACTTGATGTCAGTCCAGGAGGCTGCCTTGTCCTGGAGCGCCCTCTAGTGACCAAATCTCACAAGTCTCCTTTGTACACTTTGTGTTATATCCTGCAGCTTGAGGCCCTCACCTCCTTCCCTAACCTCAACTACTTCGGGTGGGGGACAAAGGCTAGACAAACAATAAAATTGACTGGATGCTTATGTTTGGGGCACAGTGCCAGCTTCTACAGGAGGCAAGCAGACACAGGAGTCATGGCCCTGTGCTCAGGCCCCTCCTATCTGGCCTTCTTGCTCGTGCAGGCTGGTAGCTTTTCCCTTCTCGGTCTCTGCTCTCCGGTCTCCTCCCTCTCCAACCTTTCTGGATCATTTGTAGTATCAGAATTGCTCTTTAAGCTAGAGCTGGCCAGGCGAGGATGTGCCTACTATGCTGTGTGTGCCTAAACAGCCCAATCCAGGGCACCAAATACTCCCTGGAGTTTTGGGGGTTGGGGGGTTGGGTGAGATGCCCACCAAAGTTTCTTCCCCACTGTGCCTCCATTTTGGGGACTGCTCAGGGTAGGGTCACGCCATC